CTGCATAGGTCAGTGATCATAGAGCCAAAATCTATTTAAGCAATAAAGCCAGACCTAGGCTTCACTAAGTATCAGCGATCCTTCACATCCTTTTAAAAAACAGGGTTTGACATTTCATCTAAGGACTGTCTTCCAATACTGTTCACCAGACGTGTCACTTTAACTGTTTCACATGGTTGCGTTCATCAATAAAAAATCACAGACCTTACTGGAATTATTTTTTTATATACACTCAGTAGTTTTCTAAAGGTTAATCACAGGAAAACCAGAAGATTTGGTTCTTACGCAATCAGGAGCAACTTTTAAACATGTTCTATGTCTTTACTGTGATATTTCTAGCTTAAGTATAGGATTCTTCAACTGTCATATTTGATATGTCTGTAACATCTTCTGACATAGTAGTAATTAAACACAAATGTCATGCTTCACGTTTTAATTGAATAATTGCGCTGTTAGGATTTAAACCAAATCTCGCGATCTGTAGTGATGTGCTCCAATATTTGGGATGTGGGAAGTCTGGCTCTTGCCTTGGGATTTTTATTTTTGATCTTATGACACCCCTTTGAAAATATTACAGAATAGTGGCTCTTAATTAAAGTTCCACCATACCTGAAGCATGAAGCTGACTGGTGATGTCAGCCTCCTTCTGCTAGGTTCTTAATTAGCGTTTGCGTCTTGTTCCTGTTTGAGTCAGCTTCTAATGTACTATATTTTATTATTCTCATCCTGTTGCCATTACACCTCTAGCTGAATAAGAGATGTCCTGAGTTATATTCTTTTCAGCAAGCGTTGAGTGGAATATGGTGACAAGTACAAGATGTAAAATGTAGAGAAAGCTGCAGTATATCCCAGGTGGAAATGAATATTTTCCTTTCGACATGTCTGCAGAGTTAAATTAATAACTACTCTCTGCAGTTAACTTGGACTTTAATTTAAATTTAAACAGCTGGCGAAACATCCATAAAAATGGGGGGTTTTAATTGCTTTTGTTGCCAGTTGTCTGTGTGTGTGTCATTGTGCTTTCTTGATCTTGGAAGAACTGTGTTGTTTTGAAATATGTGCTGGTTTCTGCAGGGGCACCATCGCGGCACAATGATTAGAATTGCTGTGGCTAATTCTGGGCTGCTATCTGTGGGGAGTCTGTATGTTCTCTCCCCTGTTTAAGTGTGTTTCCTCCAGGGGCTTCAGTTTCCTGCCGCAGTCCAAAGATATGCTGGTACATTAATTGGCTTCTGGGAAAATTGACCCTGGTGTGAGTATGTGTGATTGGGTTTGAGTCTGTGTGTGCGCTGTGATGGACTCGTTTCCCATCCATGGTGTATCCCACTTTGTGCCCAATGCTTGCTGGGATAGGCTCCAGCTCCCCCTTAACCCTAAAATCATCTGAATTGGACGAAGTGGTAAAAAACTGGGTGGATGGTGTCAGCGTTAATTTTTTCATGCTGAAATCATGGCTAGCAACTGAGAAAGATAAGGCCAGCTTTGAGTCGGGATGCTTCTTGTTTCTGTTTGCTTGGGTGTCTCAACAAGATACGAAATCTGCTTTGTCCTGTAATTACCAGATTCCTGGTATGAATCTAGACTGTGTGACGAACCGCGTGCAACTGGAAGACCACAGGTAGAAGGGACTGACTTGGCTGAGCCACCTAAACCAGTCCCTTAGTCAGAGGTTCAGCAGCAGCCCTCTGTACTGCCGTTTTCTTTGAGCTTGCAGTGTTGAGTGTGATCATCGATGATCATAAAGTCACTGCTTTATTTGTCAGCCTATGGCAAATGAGTAAACTCTGGATAAACTGGTGGCGGTGAGGTGAATAAAAAATGGAAAGAATGATGGATGTAAGCATTTCTGTTGCTCAGAGCAAAGATATCCCTTAAAAATCCAATGTCAGATTAACATATTATATACTGTAGCTGAACCACGTACGTCAGGTTCTCCGCATTGCAGAAGCAATTTGAATAAACTATTTTATTTATTATATAACATTTGTTATTTTGGGATTTGGGGATGTGTGATTAGCACCCGGGTTTTGAGCGGTATCAGAAATAATGCTCCGTGTTCGTGATTTGTGATGCTGGACATTTTGTATTTATGAATTTAGAAAACACCAGTAGAATTCTGATCTGCTTTATAGCTGTATAACTATGTAATGAACAGCTGCAGCAAAGTGGCTAAAATTTGTTTTCTGCTCTAGAGGAAAAGCAATTTTTAATCTGGTTTTCCATGATACCACTACTCTTTAATTATTTAAAAATACATGTTTCTAATTTTATGATAAGTTATGTTTTAAATTAATTAATTTTGACAATGCGGATGGTCTCTTCATCTTTTTTTTAAAAAGCATGGTAGCTTCCTGTCCTTTTTAAAATATAAAGGCAGTAACTTCTGTCTCTGTAGTGCTAATAGCTCAAAAGCTGCTTATATCTAGCATGTTTGATGGTAGTATAGAGATACAGTATCTACTGGAAGCTGGTCAGTGGAATAGAAAAGTTGCTTACAGCAAAAGGCTTGATTAAGACTGCAGTATCATTAGATCAGTGCTCTGCAGTGTGCCCTCTACCAAGTTAAATAACTCACATTGAATGCGAAATTCTTTTAATCTTGAAAATAATGAATTCCAAGAACAGTGTTTCTGTCTCTAAATTAAAAGGCTTTGCTTTCACTGAATTTTGGAGCTCTTTACAATAAAGAAGTTCTATTTAATTAGATTTCTTCTGTTGCACACAGACATGGGCTTTTATTATAGAAATCTGATAGGCAGAAAATTGAAAGAAGGAATTGTACTTTCTTTCCTTCTGAACCTTCCACTGGATAGTGGGAAGGATTTGAAGATCCTGCAATATTTCTGTCCTTGTCCTTCTTTGTTTGTCTCATCATTGGACTGTCCTCTCTCTCTAAGACAAATATTGACTCAGCTTTCTTTTTTTCTACTTTTCTCTTTCTCCCTCGGTTTCTTAAGAACATTTTTCTCTGTATTTCTGCCCTCTCCCCCCTTGTTTCCTTTCAGGCTGTGAATCATTAATCAGAGTTTGGTATTATCACTCTCAAAAAAGTGAAAACAAACGGTTATACAGTATATTATTTTTTAGTCATAACATTGATTGTTAGATTTAACCTTTTAGCAAATTCTATGATTTAGTACAGGCTTGTAATTTATGTAATTTAATTGTAATTTATGTCTTGAAAGTTATGATGTATAAGAAGCAGCCCTTAATATGTCTGTTTTACAACAAGGTTCATGTGACTGTGGTTTATTTCTGTTATTGAAGGCATGCTGCTTAACTCTGCAGTGCCAGCGACACACACTGAAGTAATATTGTTACTATTATCATGTTATTAGTAGTCATATCATATCAGGACACATAATTTTTAGTTTTCTTTTTTACAAAATTCAGAATATCAGCTAAAATATTCCTTTTTGATTAATCAGAATATATGCTAGAAAATGAAAAAAAAAACATGTTTGATTTGTTTTCCAATATCAAGAGGTCGTGCATTGTGTTATGTCTGTGTGAATATGTGCAGAGGTGAAAAGAATGCTGTTTTATAAACTACCGTGACATTAGTGACCTCAGTGACTGATGGTGACACTTCCTGCCCATCTTGATTTAACAACTGTAACACTGATTTAACACTGGTCTAATCTGCACAACGGCTTTTCCTTAAACATGCTTTTCAGCTCTCGCTCTGTAACCATAGAAACACTGAAGAGAACATTAATACTATACATGCTGAATAACTTAGCAACAGTGAATATTACATACTGTATGTAGGTGTTCAACAGTGAGAATGTAACAAGTTTCTTTTTTACAGATATATCGCTTGCATAGTAAATTTAACACATTATTTTTCCTGTTATTGGCAAATGTAATAATGTTATAAGAGCATCTTACTAGATAGCACTGTCATTGATTGAACATCAGAGGTCGTTATGCACTTTTAATTAGTTCCCCCCGTTTTGATAAGAAAAGAGCTGTTATCAGGGAAATCTGTCATGTAATGAATTATAAGAAACTACTTTCAATCTCAAAATTGCATACTGACAGTGAAAGAGGCTTTTGTTTTTCGCTCTTGTTCTTGTCTCTCATTCTGCCCTGCTCGGTTTCCATCTCACCACTTGTCTTTCTGCATCATTCTTTCTCTTTCTGCACCACCTCCCTCTGCTTGCCACTTCTCTTTTTACAAAGTTGTGTTTCACCCAGCCGGATTGGAATTGCCAGTGGTGAGTGTCTCCTCAGGGAGGCCACACACAGACGTTTTTGAGCCATCTGTCATTTAACACATCACAGGCACCACGATCTCCTTGAGAGGTTCTGCACCACGAAGGAGAAACTCCTTCCTCACCAGCAGCTCCTCCTGTTTGCCAGTGCCCAGGAGGCTGCAGGTGAAGCCTGAGAGAGAGCCCTGGCCATCTAATCTAACCATACCTTGGGAGATTCCATCCCTCTAGCCTGGCTCGAACGCATGGTCCTAGATCTCATCCTGCGCTCCGATGGGCACCTTTACAAGCCGAGCCTCCTGGGAGACTTATAATCATCAATCTTTCCTCTTGTCTGTCTACTGCCACACCTCCCTCTTTCCTCACATTGTGTGGGTCTCTCCTAGTTTATACTTGTTCCCTCTTATCAAAAAACATCTTAACACTTTGTCTCCATCCACTCACCTTTTTGACTTTCTCCCTTATCACTCTTCTTATCCTTTTCTGCTGTTTTCTCCTAATGTCTCTGTCTTTCTCTGTCCTTATCTTCCTCAGCTTTCTCTTGGCTCTGTCTCTCCTCTCTTTTTCCACTTTCATTTCACGTTCAGGCTCAAATACTGTATTAACGAGAGTCAAATATTTTTTGCTGATGTACAGTAACACTACGGAACACAGAAGGATATATTTGAAATGCACTGAATATTGTCTGTCAAGCATGTGTACACTGTGAAGGGACACTTCATCTTTCTCCTTCCTCCTTCAGCTTTCTTCACCTTTCCAACCCTCTTTGTCTGTTGTCCTCAGATTGCCGGCTATGTCAATCAGCCCATGGTTGACGTGTCCATCCTGCAGCGTTCCCTGGCTATTCTCGAGAGTATGGTGCTGAATAGTCACAGCCTCTACCACCGGGTGGCGCAGGAGATCACAGTGGGGCAGCTTATTGCCCACCTGCAAGTGTGAGTATACACGGGGAAACACAGCCGACAGACTCGGTGAAAAATAGGAAATGTCATGAATACAGTTTAGCTAGCGTGAGAAGAAACCAAGCTTGTCCAAGAGAGAATATAAGAAAAGAAATGCCTAGCTCCCAGGACTCACCACAAGCCAACTTGCAAGTGTATAATTTGCAAGTAAATGACATTACATCGTTTCAGAAAAAAACATAATATATTTTCCACACAATCCACCCTAAATCAAAGCATTCTTGGACAGTTGTTTCTCTCTTGTCAGGACATTGTAGCTTAGACCAATGACACAGATGTATTTATATTTCTTTGAATGAACACTCTTTCAGGTTAGGGTGAGGTTAGCTCCTTGTCCAATCACAATGCAATCCTTTTGCTTTTCTGTTCATATAAGTCAAAGTTATTATATGTACAGCTATTGAATAAATGTTTTTGTTGTTAATTTAATTATCCATTGATCTTTCTTGGAGGACCGTGATACAATTGAATGACTTTGACTGTTAAAATAAGCATTAAATTGCTTCATTAATGAGAAAGCTGATTTGGCACAAATGAGGCAGTTTACACTGTTGAATGTCAAGACCCTATGCAGAAATCAAGAAGAAGAACATAGGATGGAACCAATACACCCGGCTTATCAAGAGAACAACATAATCGGGCCAGCCATGAGGCTGGACAAAGTCAGCGTACAGGTGCTCACTGTCTTTGAAATTCAAAGCCAGCATTTTCTGACCTGTCCTGTACACAATCACGCTCAGTTAATTATAGGCCACAATTTGGGAGCCCAAGAGTCACGGCAGTATCTTTGGAGAGGTTCAAGTGTGTTGATGTGGTCAGGAGTGTCCAGACACGACAGAACCCACCTCCTTTCTTGCAGGCTCGTTCCAGGAGGACAGTGCACATCCTCACGTTGCTTCTGTCAAAGCAACTCTCATGTAGGATAAGAGGGTGTTGTTCTTAACCTATTTGCCAGACTTGAGCATTTTGGGATGAGCTGGGATGATTTCTGGCATCTAGGACTTCAAGACCGGTGAACAGGCACATGTTTGTCCAGGCTTTATGAGACAGGATCCCAGAATGCAGCATCTGAAACCTGGTCCAGAGCATGCAGACGTGCAGCTTCTAATAGTGATCGTACAAATGGCAGCCCTGTGACTTTCATAGTACACCTCCGTTTAGATCCACCCCATTGATGACAAATGTTAATCAGCATAATGAATGTACCGTGTCATATCTTTTCAGTACAAGGTGAGCACATCTGCTACAGATGATCATATTGATTCTGCTAATTTCTTTGATAATGTGTTGCAGTAGCAATAAGTTTATTTTGATATGCAGTACATCATCTGATAAAAAATAACTTCCCTCATATGACCACAGGATCATCAGTTGTGTGTGGACAGGACCTCAATTTAATATCTCACTTTCAACACAAGTGTCACTGATCCTTTCTGCAGCAGAGGGTGGAGTGGTGTACCTACAGTATAACACATCCAGCAGCAACTACGAATTGCATCCCATCTCATACTGACCAGGCCCAGCCTTGCTTTGCTTTTGTTTTCCGATAAATACATTCGTACGCACAGGCAATAAAACAAACTTGACGGAATGGCGATACTGTATTGGCGTAGTGGTTTGATTTTAATAGCCGCTTTGCGGGACAGGAATCGGACAGCACCAGAGAATAACGTGGCCTCCTGCAGCTCCAGCTCATGTCACCTGCCTGTCCTGCTGTGCACCTGCAGATCCAACCAGGAGATCCAGACCTATGCCATCGCTCTCATCAACGCTCTCTTCCTGAAGGCCCCCGAGGACCGCCGCCAGGTCAGTGCCCCCTGCCTCGTGCCCACCATCCTGCCTGTATCTCTCTCTCTCAGCGTGTGCCATGGGCTAACCTCTCACTGTGCGCTCCTTGCTTCAGCCCTGCTGCCAAATACAGAGGGCTGTATCTATCTGTCCGTGAGGAGGGGGTTGTATTATTTGCCGATGTGAGTGTAGGTGTGTGGAGAGAGTGGGTGGGCAATAGTGCCTCAGGGTTATTTTTAGCCCACTTAGTCAAATACCAGTCTTCCACAGCAGGATTATATCGATGCTGGTCAATGCATTGAAAGCAGACGAGTTATCTCGCTGTTAAAGGTGCTGGGCTGTAAGGGCTTGTAAGGTGCTGAATTCCCAGCCTCGTACTGCTCACCCTGTGAAACTCCCTGGCCCTCCTTGTTCTCCCTGTGCTGGATTCCTTTGCTCTGCAGCAGTAACTGGTTATGAATAGTTCACATCTAGGTTCCTGTAAACATTCTGTTAAATGATGGATTTGTGTTTATTAATGATCAAATATAAGCAGATGAAAGATCTGCAATGAGGTGGCAGTCCCTAGCTGATCACCCAGAACTAACTCTGTGTCTGGCTTCATTAAACAAGTGTATGAACAAGACGGTAATGTATATTTTAACTTATGTAATTTCACAGTGAACTTGTAAGAGGCATTGCTGAGAAGCATTTACAGACTTCTAGGTCACACGTATGGCAGAACATCAATTCAGTATTCTCTCAATTGTCCTAATCCTCTTTCTTTTTTTCTTTTTGATAGAAATCTTTTGTCTTCACCAATTCTGCAGTGAGCCCTCAGATTTTCCCCCTCCTTTGAATTGTATTGATGCGGCCACACAATTTTTCTGCTGCAGGGCTTGTTAACAGTTTCTTTCACTGTTCTAAACTCCTAAATATAGTGTAGCTATAAGCTACTGAGAAGAAGAGCTAGAATGGAGATTCCTGGATTTTAAGATGTCCGAGCAGTTCAGCTGATGAAGACCTGTTAGAATGCAGGCTGGGCCTTGGTTTGTGAAGGTCATTAGATGACACAGAAATTCCACAAGGAGCAGCATACAGCTGGCTGAGCACTGCTGGGGTTGGGTGTGCTGTCTGCTGTTTCCTCAGAGGACTGCAGTGCAGTGACTCCTGTGCACTTATGAGCCTTCTGTACAGTCAGTGAGAGCTATACCAGTCAGTGTTCTCTGCAAATTGGGGACCCAAGTCCTCTTGAGTTTAGAACAGCTAAGAATGAGATCAGGGGATTCCTGCTTTGCTCACATGGGCCCTTGCTTTTCTTTAGCCTTTTGTCCTGCTGGTTGTGTGGGGGCTGTGGCTGTGCTGTTCTGTTGTGTGCATGGAGCCATGTTCATGCCTGTGTGTAAGTGAGCGCTCTTTGTTTCCATTGCTGTCACGCCTGCATCCCTGCTTATACGCCACCCAGGAGGAGCACAGTAACCCCCTGGACCTGCAGCTCACTGTGAGTACACACTGTCAGTGCTCCACTGTTAATACTGTACACACTCTTCACACTGTCAGTGCTACACTGTTAATACACACTTTTCACACTGTCAGTGCTACACTGTTAATACATACTTTTCACGCTGTCAGTGTTACACTGTTAAAACACTTGTCACACTGTCAGTGCTCCACTGTTAATACTGTACACACTCGTCACACTATCAGTGCTACACTGTTAATACTGTACACACTCTTCACACTGTCAGTGCTACACTGTTAAAACACTTGTCACACTGTCAGTGCTACACTGTTAATACTGTACACACTCGTCACACTATCAGTGCTACACTGTTAATACTGTACACACTCTTCACACTGTCAGTGCTACACTGTTAATACACACTTTTCACGCTGTCAGTGTTACACTCTTAAAACACTCGTCACACTGTCAGTGCTACACTGTTAATACTGTACACACTCTTCACACTGTCAGTGCTACACTGTTAATACACTTCACACTGTCAGTGTTACACTGTTAATATACTCGTCACACTGTCAGTGCTACACAGTTAATACACACTGATCACACTGGCAGTGTTACACTGTTAATTCACACTGATCACACTGGCAGTGCTACACTGTTAATACACACTGATCACACTGGCAGTATTCTGTGCACACTATCACTCTCAATGCTTACTGCATGCTGTCTGTACACACTTATTACTGATCCCATTAGAAGTCTCAGTGTCATAAACATTGATCACACATTCACTGTGATAAACAATATTCCTGCTTTCTTTTCTGAAAACTGTAGGAAGTCTTTGAATCTCTTTGCAAGACAGTTCAGTTCTACTAAGTGGCTAGATATCTTTACATAGGCAATCCAGTATGTTCTTTTGTAGGGATTTGAAGATAGAAACGTATGGCAATGTCATGACAAAAGGCCCACTGGCCTTCTGCGAGCTTCATTACTCTCTAACGGTGGAAACGTGACTGAAAAGCTTTCAGGGCTGCTGTCTTTCAGACAGCGCAACACTTCATTGCTAGTTCCTGGGCAAAAGTGTTGAAAATAAAACAAGTACAAATTTTACAGCTTTAGTAGTTTTCACATGAACTTCTCTCCCTTTGTTTTTTCCTCTTATCCTTAATCGCACAATGATCCAGAATTGTTACTTCACCTTTGCTGTTCCCATAATAGAGCCTAGGGAACTAGGAGATTCCTCACAGACCGTCCAGAGGGTCCCTCACCTACATTACATATACCTATGAAAGATCACAAGTGAAGAGAGGGCCATTTGGCCCATCAAAGCCTGTTTTGAAGTTAGCAGTGTATTGATCCAAGGATTAGTTGTATCTTGAAAGAAGTCAGAGTATCGGCTTTCACTTCATGGCTGGGCACAGTATGGGATTCTATACTCTCACAATTCTGCTGCATCAGGAGGTGCCCCCTGTACTCCTCTGAAATGCAGTTCTATGAAGTTTCTACACTTGTCCTCTGATTCGTGTTTCAACTCTCTCAGTGCCTTGGAGGATTTAGAATTCTTGAATCAGAGCCTCTAATAGTCTTGGTTGTTCAAGACTAAAATAGTTCAGCCTCTTTAGTCTGTTATTAGACTTTAAGTCCAGGAGTGTATCTGGAAGCTATGGTCATGATTGATTCAAGGGCAACAATATCTGTTTTATTGGTGATCAATATTGTACACGATATTCTAACTACCCTTACTAGTGCATTTTAAACGTAATTACAAGTGCATTTTCCCGTGTAATTTAATCTGCACAAACATGCTGCTCCTCATTTTGCTGAAGCCTTTTGCGTTTGATTCAAATCCTGTGCTTTTAACTGTACTTTTGTAGTGTTTTGTTTCACATGTCAACATGAGCACCAAAGTCTTTTTCATAAATAGCTACTTCAAGCTCATTGTTTCCTGTTTTATATCTGTAGTGTATGCTTTAAATACCTACATACTGTATAATATTCTGTACTTGTTTACACTAGACAGTATCTGCTGGGAGCTTGCGCAGTCATGAACTTTATTGACATTTTTTAATCTTCCTACAGCTATTATCTTTACAGCATCATCTGTGACATTTGTACATACAAACTAGTCAATAATGGCTTTTTAACACACACCCTACAACATTACTCTAACGTTGAATTTAATTTGTGTTCTTTGGGAAAAAAAATAAGTTACAGGCTAGAATAACTATTATCTGGCAAATATGTCCATTTGGCTGGCTTGGTAATTATAATTATAATTAATTAATAATAATTGCTTACACTTATATAGTGCTTTTCTGGACACTCCACTCATGGATGGGGAGTAATGGGGACTCCCCTCAACCACCACCAGTTCATCCTATAAGTAGTGATCTCACACAGTTACTGCTCTCATTGACAAAAATGCTTTAATAACATGTTCTGTGGAGCTGTACAGTATTGGTTTAATAGGCTATTATTAATGTAAACATATAATAAATACTGAGATTTACAGTGAAACGCCAATCTACATCAGCTGTAACTTGGCACCGAACATCTGTTTCCAACCCAGCAGTCTGTGCAGTTTTTCCTGTGTAATTTAATCTACATGAACATGCTGCTTCTCATTTTACTGAAGCCTTTTGTGTTTGTTTGAGAGCCAGATTATTAAGTAGTTGCAGTGTGTAAGACTTTGACAGAGGAGGCTCGGGGGACTTACTAATGACTACATCCCAACAGTTTTTACACTGTCCTTAATGAATGAAACGGGGGGGAATCTGTTAAACACTCGACGATTGTAAAATGGGATTTTCTGCCTTCTCAGGGTGTTTTTTCACTACCAATAACCGCTGATAGTAAAAGCATCTTGTGACAATCTCAGCTCCAGAGTGTCATTGCGCACTTAAAAGTAAGCTCATTTCTAATCAAAGCTGTCGTTTGTTTGCTTGGTAGGCAGATATGTTCTTACAGTAATCACGATTTAAATCCTGTTCATTTTCTAAACACCTTGACTGTTGTCAGTCATTTCCTTGCATTAAACTCGGCTAAGTGGGCACTTTTCTGGACATTGTGCTGCATTCATTTAATTCCCATCATATATTTAAGTCTAAAAGAAATGCACTATGTTTCATCTACAATGTATGAGTCGAACTTATAATTACCTGTCAGCTTTTGTTGTAATCCTTTAAAAAAAAACATTCATTAAACCCACAAAGTTTTTCACATGGAGTGCCTTTCTCTTCTCTGATTAATGTCAAGCACAAGCTCCTTGCTTTGCCCAAATTTCATTTGGTAGAAGCCACGTGCGAATGTTACAACCAGATGACCTGCACTCATATGCACATTATTCAAAGGCATTGGAGATTGAATTTGCACTCTGCTCGCCATTGTCAAGTGAATTCATAAAGCAAGCAGGAGCCCACTGCTGGCAGCTAGAGTTTTTTGTTCTAAATTTAGAGTCACCAATTATTTTAGTTATACTCAGTCAACTTGGAATACCGAGTTGCGAGTTTTACATGACTCAACTCAGAGCTAGGAAGCCTGTGAGCCTCACACAGGGGAGAATGAGGAGATGTAGGCAGACTCGTTTGACCTGCCCACTTTTGGACCACTGGTCTTTGAAGATATCACAGGCCCTGCCCTGGAGGTTCAGATCTATTGGAGGAGAGGAGTGTCCCTCACCGACAGCAGTGCATGGCTGCTGGGAGCCAGTGCGCCTCTGAGATCCAAGAGAACGTGTGGCAGTTAATCCCACACTACCCATTCTGCGCCCCGGCTGTTGGAACCTCAGTTCACCCGGGCTTGAACCCACAGAGCTCAACCAGAGCTCGGATGCGTGCCTTTACTGGCTGAGACGCTCGGAAGGCTTGAGCTGTTTTCTTTATTCCACAGTGAAGCCATCATCCAAATCTAAATAAACTACTGGTGCCATGATCCATTTCTACTTCTACCATTGTTCTCTTCCAGCCTGTGCTGCAACTAGATAGACGGATAGAACATGTCAGAGGTCAGAGGTCAGAGGTCAGTGCTCATGAATGTTGTGTGGTGCAGATTTGTGACACTGTCATGCCTGTAACAATTAACATGACGTTACTAGAAATATCGCGACGGGCCAGTGCTCCACCACATCCTGTGTAGCTGACAGTGGCAGAACATTGTCTCATGAATCTCAAGAAATAGTTGTAGAAAGAGACTGCAAAGAGGTGCCACCTCCTGGAGACATTGAGAACAGGCTAGCTGTCTTTCAAAATCGTAGCAAGTTCTTGTTGGAGGTGTATCAGTGAAATTTTGTGACCTCTAGTGCTTTGTATATCTGGTCAATGTTATCATTTCTAACATGAAAAAGCCAGAGCATAGATTGCAATGAGTTGTTTGGACTTAAATTTTGGATTGGGGCTTTGCTTTTTTATTTTCATATTTATGAAATGCAAGAACACTCTTTCTACATTCAGTTCCTTTATTTGGAATCTACAGGGCTTTTCTTCAACCACTCATTAATTTAAGACTGAAAACGACCCTTCTGGCAATCTGTTATATACTGTAGAAATTCTCCTTGCATGTCAAGTAGCTTAGGTAATGATTATAGCGAATGTGTGGATGTTGCACTACTGTTTGAAATGAATCTCTTTAATTATATAAATACAGAGACACATTCACTGAATGCTATCACATATGGTTTTGATCAACCAAAAACCAATATGACAACTCCATATAAATGATGTCAAGATAGGACAGGACGCAGTGATCCAAGAGACTGCCAACACAGCGCTAATATTCTTTAGCTGAAATTAGAACAGCCAATCAGATTTGTTTCTGCTCCTGTGGGCGGCTAAGATTGGAGATATAACTTAGCTGGAATACAAGGTAACAGCAAAGAATATCCATGTTTAGAGTAGCAGACAAAGCAGTGTTGTTTCCAAAACTTAAACAAATTTGAGCTCTCCCAAAAACATGTAAAAAAAAGGCATCTATAGCACCCCGTGAACAGAGCGTACTCAGCTGACTAGGGACTATCGACCACATTAAGAAGTTTAAAGGATGTCTAAGAGGTAATCATACTGTACACACCTAAATTCCCTTCAAAGTTTTTAGTTAAAGCTACTCTGCATGAGCTGATGATGGGTCATTTGTGAAGTGTACTGTGAGAATAATCAATAGTGTAGCAAATATAGAAGCACATGGCCAGTAGAAACCAGCTGCGCAAATCAGACACAAAAAGCTTCAGCAACATGATGTGTCCCTTTGATGGGAAGCTCTTTCTGTCCATGGGTTGGCAGCCTGCATGTCTGAAAACAAAGTACATGCTCATTATTAACCCATACGTTCATCTCGGAGCAGTGACTGCAATCGCCAACACACTGCAGGAACTGAAACTAGCCGCACAATGATTTTTGTGAGCATGCAAATTGATTGTGATGTTTATATTGAAAATAGCAGTATTTTGTCTATTAATGCATATGTACTGTATTTGAAAGTACAGAATTCTCAACTACATTATTTATTTTGGAATTGAATTTGGTTACAATATAAATGCAAAGTGTATCCCTGGTTACCATATGCCATATTGGATACATTAAAATTTCAGCCAAAACCTCAACCTCCATAGATTGTAAATCAGCTCATGAAATGTTCTTTGATTAAGATCCTGAGAATATGTTTCCTCTTTTCTCTGATTGAGATTATACTGATAACAATCCATTGACAGAAAATTAAGTTAAAAAGGTTCTCATCTTGCAATTAATACATCACAAACAAGGAAGTTTTTTAAGTGAAATGTTGTTATTTTAGACATTTGAAGTGAAATATGTGGAAATCCCTTACTGCCTTCACTATCAGCGGTTGTGAAACGCTGTGTACATTTAAATTAAAGGACAGAATTTGAACATTTTCACACTGTTGTCAGGGGACATGTTTTGTCAAGGAATGTACAACGTAGGGGCCAGTCAGAAAGCGATATAGCCACAAATATTCCAGTTCCACAAACATTATAAAGATAACAATCAAGAGAAAGCCTTTCAGCCTGTGTTAGTAGTTTAACTGCTGTTTGTACATGAAAATGACAGTTTAACAAGCCCTATTCCATTGTGGAAAAAAAATAATTTGTGTTAAATTTGTATACTTACTGTAGACTTGTCATTCTTTCTGTTCACCTTATGATGAGGTTTCATCTTTCCTTAGTAAAGCAGACCCCAGACACAAAAAGGTCTGCCTCTGTTTTTGTAACTACATTTAAAACAAGACACGAGGTGGCTGATGTGAGGTGCACAGCGGTAAACTACATTTCCCAGTCTGCATTTCTCTACCAGCAACCCCTCTCCCACCCGATGACACTGTGCATGTGTGTGTGTTTGTTTTCTGTCTCCAGGAGATGGCGAGCACCCTAGCCCAGAAACATCTCAGGTCCATCATCCTCAATGTGAGTGAAGGTGCAGAAGGACACCAGTTCTCTCTGCCCAACTGTGTATTTGTAGACCTGTTTGGAGCTGCATGATTGTTGAAGAAATACATGATTCTGGACCACGTATCCACCATAATAGTTAAACTATTATTTAATGAGTATACATTCTGAGTGTAGGACATCTGCAGTAATATTGTAAAAACTTTTTTACAGCAAGTAAACTCTAAATACTGTATATAAACATCTCATTTCAAAATCTTGTGACCTGGGTCTTGATTTTAAATGTTTACTAGTTTACAATATATTAGTATATACATGAAATTACCCTTCATGGAAGAATCACAGTCCTCAGGTGTCACTATGAAGAAACATTCATCCAACAGGAAACATTACGTGTACACTCCCGATCAGAGACAGTACCAGACCAGCAGTCTGGGATTATATCAAACCAGACAATGCAGACCAGAAGTTGAACAATAGAAAATCTCCTGTCATCTCTCAATGTTGATGATTGTAGTTCACAAGAGGGATAAATCCCTAAGCCATGCATAAGAGTGCCCCAGAAACCAATTCTTTACAAAATCCACACAGCCTATGAATAACCTGATTGAGTTAAGCAGTTCTTATTTTAGATTGCAATGTAAATCAGAAGACCCTGATAATATGCATGTGTCTGTTTATATGGTTATCTTTGTATGTGCCATCCTGTTCAGCCATGTAGCTGTTTTCTGGTGCCGGTTCACATTAATGTGCTTTGTGTATGTATAAATGCTTAGCAGATACATAATACCTGTTTTGCAGTCATGCAACTGCATTGTCAAACTTGACGCATGCTGAGTGGCATCTTCCTGCCCTCTCACTGCAGCACATCATTCGCGGGAATCGGCCCATCAAAGCAGAGATGGCACACCAACTGTATGTGCTCCAGGTCCTGACCTTTAACCTTCTGGAGGAGCGCATGATGACCAAGATGGATCCCAGTGATCAGGTGTTTTAAAAAACTGTGCCTAGAATTCGTTGCGCTTTTTAGATACACAAATGCAAAATGGAGTTGGACACTGCTGACTAGCAAAAAAATGCATTCTGTTGCCTTTACTAAACTTCAGATGTCATACTGTACCTGCTTTTCACTTTCCTACCAGTGCATGCTGGAGCAGTCTGAGACTCATCCGTAGCTTCTGTATTCTGTGATTCAGAGGAAATCGGGACATGAGTGCTTCATGCACAGTGTGAAATAGTGCAGACCTGAAAGATGAATGGCCAGGTCAGAAGTAGGAGCAGCTGAAGAGTTCCCAGGGCTGGAGATTCTCCATCTCGCTCTTGCTTGAACAGCTGTTCCCTGCCTCTCCTCCTCCCCAGGCACAGAGGGACGTCATCTTTGAGCTGCGCAGGATCGCTTTCGATGGTGATAATGACCCCAACAGCAGCACAGAGAAACGCAAGGCGATGTACACCAAGGACTACAAAATGCTGGGCTTCACTGTGAGAGCGCTATCACTGAGGTCTAATTAGCAATGTGGCTTGATTAACACTGAGCAGAATTAACAGTGGGATTCATTGTCATGGATGTTTAAGCCCTGCTGTACCATAAAGCTCCAATTCAGTTACATTTTAAGAGAAAGTTCTGACATTGTGGGGAAACAGACAGATTTTGAGACGCGTTTTGTGTCGTCTCCACAGAACCACATCAACCCCGCCATGGACTTCACCCAGACCCCTCCAGGCATGCTGGCACTGGACAACATGCTGTATCTCGCCAAAGTTCACCAGGACACCTACATCAGGGTAGGGTTGCAGCACTAACACTTCCGGGCATTGAAAATAATAAACACAAAGTTGTACATAAATTGAAGTTATTTTTGAAGTGGGAAAAGACAAGGCTGACATAAAAAATCAAGTGCTGTTCAGTGGAGATTTGAATGGTGCATCTAGAATGCTATTATAAATAATTCCTTATATTATATAATACTTTTCTGGGAATCCAAGCACTTTAAGGGTAACGGGGTCTCCCCACCACCACCGCCTGGATGATGCAATGGCAGCCATAGTGCACCAGTTTGCTCACCACACACCAGCTCTCAGTGGGGAGGAGAACAGAGTGATGAAGCCAGTTCATAGATGAGGATTATTAGGAGGCCATGTTTGGTAAAGGTCAATGGAAAATTTGGCCAGGATACTGGGGTGACACTCCCCTGAGATTTTTAATGATCATAGAGAGTCAGGACTTTGGTTTTACATCTTATTTTTACTATATAGATTTCCCATTCTATACTGGGGCATTAGGACTGGTCCCACTAACACCTCTGCCAGCAGCAACCTTAGTGTTCCCATGAGGTCACCCAGCCAGATTCTGGCCAGGCTCACACCCGTTGAGCTTCAGTGGGTTCCCAGATGTGAGTTGAAGGGTGATATAGCTGTTAAATACGTAAATATAATGCACCATAAAGAATGATCTAAAGAATGAGGGTACCTGGACTTCCTTTACATATTTGGAATGGGAATGAGCTGTTTTGCTGTTGAAAAGTTAGAGATTTCAATGGAGCAGACAAAGACGTCTTGATGTACACAGCTATTGTTGGCTGTTAACTGCGTTCCTGCAGTTCCCTTCCACAGAGGAATAATTTCAGGAATTAGTATTTCATCCTAACAGTATATTGTGTTGCAGTACTCAGTATGTGTGCTTTTACTGGAAAACATCTGGACTAAAGAGGCAGAACAATTTCACTGTTGAGTGGTATGTGAGTTTGTTTACTCCTGTAAGATTTCTAAGTTTCTCAACCTTATTATAGGTCATCAGATGAGAAACAATATTGGTTACTCAAGAGCGTTGGTATTTAACATTGATATTGAGAAATGAATATCATTGCTTAATAGCCATCTCTGTGGAGATCAGTGTGGGAAAATAGGAGCACCACGGGGTGCTGGGTTCAGCACTCCCTCCCGGTACAGCAGTGCTTGAGCAGCATGTTACTGTCCCTTGTGTCTCTGTGCCCAGATTGTCCTGGAGAACAGCAGCCGAGAGGACAAGCATGAGTGTCCCTTCGGCCGCTGTGCCATTGAGCTGACCAAGATGCTGTGCGAGATCCTGCAAGTCGGAGAACTGCGTGAGTACCACACTCTACCACCCGGAATGCTAACGATGCCCGCTCCCCATAGCACCCAATAGCCCGTGCCAGGATGGGCTTGTACCTCATACTAAACCCAGTGCTACACTCTGTACTAGTGCTTGCGTAGCTCTGACTGATGACACTACACTAGACTACACTGATTTTTTTTTTATTCTAACCATTATTTACAATGATATCGCCGCTAAAATTCAAGGGAGTTTGCAAATACCAAATACCAACAACACATATTTTTCTCAGTTGCTTCATATTCGGGTACCACACCAAGTGTTCTGATTCTTCTGAGATCTAGCAATATCGGGCTGCAGGGCAGCATGCCTCAGAGACTATTCATTCCTACTTGCAGTCTGAGACTGTTTGACTGTTTTCTATACCCAAAAATCTGCTGGTCAGAGCCACAGAGTTCTGCCAATTCCCCCTACATGGCTATTGACAGCTCCAACTGATGCCCTTTACCGGGGACAGTGAAATCTGACGCATTCCAAGCCACTCCAGGATTTTAACACAGATAGCCCTATTGTTGCAGTATGTAATTTAAGTGAAGGTTGTGTAATCAATCCAGCTGCACTGGAATGCATCAGACATTCCAGTTAATGTGTATCCCCAGATCATCACTGAAACTGAATACTGACCACACTCATCGCTGCCGTGCTGCAGAGAATACCTCCATCCAGGTCTGAGCTCTGGGTGTTTCAGGAGCAAGGGTCCCACCTGCAGCAGCAGCTCACAACATTGCCAGGATCTCACTGGCCCCCTGGCACTGCCTCCTTGTATGAAGGAAGGGCTAGAATGACGCGGTCAACTGTCTCTGTTTTCAGCCAATGAGGGCTGCAATGACTACCACCCCATGTTCTTCACCCACGACCGCGCCTGGGAGGAGTTCTTCTGTGTCTGCATCCAGCTGTTCAATAAGACCTGGAAAGAGATGAGGGCCACATCAGAGGACTTCAATAAGGTCAGCTCCCAGTGCCTGTGCTGGAGCTGTGAGGAGCCAGCGTTGTGTGTGTGTTACTGTTAAAAGTGGAGAGAAAGCAAAGTACAGTGGCATAATATGTTATCAGTTCCTTTCTGTACAGCACTGCGACATTCTTAGTGGAGTGTTGTGTAGAAAGGAACTGATAACATATTATGAGGCTGGTACATTGGACTGAAAGCTGTTACATACACTGTAACAGTTGTAAACACGGTAATACTGATTAAGACGGAAAGTCTACATCTTTTAAGTGCTAAAATATTCAGAATGCCCGACATGTGCATACAGCACGAACAAGGTGTGAAATCTGAGAAAGATGTAGGCCTGTCCCATCCCATTTTTCTAGCAGGATTGCCTTGAGTTGATGTTGTGAAGAGGGTGATGGTGTGTGGGATTAAACTGTACTTTCCACTGGGTCTACCAGTTCTCAGTGGATTGGGATCTAGGAATTGTCCTTGCCAGGACTGGAAATGTGAGGCTGTCTCATGTTCTGTAGCCAAGCACACAGTCTACTGCTGAAAGAGCCTTCTCATCTGAGTGGAGGGGAGGCGGAGAGTCCTAGCGTTCTGGCCAGTGTGGGTATATGTATGTACTGCATTGGCAAAGGAGAGTATCATAGCACTTCATTTGAATGGTTTTTCACTAGTTCATTCAGTTTAACTAAATATTTTTTAGATTAATGAACAAATGTTAATATTTGCTTGTTAATGTCATGGTTCCGGATTTTATCAGGCTTACGTTCATCCAAGCAGGCCGTCATGAAACTGTCAGGGGGGGCCTGCCCGTCCTGATCCCGTGCTGTTCGTGTTGCCCAGGTCATGCAGGTGGTCCGGGAGCAGATCACCCGGGCCCTGGCCATGAAGCCCACCTCCCTGGACCAGCTGAAGAGCAAGCTCCGGGGGCTGAGCTACTCCGAGATCCTGCGGCTGCGCCAGTCCGAGAGGATGAGCCAGGACGACTTCCAGTCCCCCCCCATCATGTGAGCTTCCCCTGCCTGAGCCAGAGTCTGCTGGGGGGAACCCAGCTCTTATTTTCACGTTTCCCTTCGGACATGGTTCTCCGTTCACACCATGGAACGAAGCTCTCAGTCTCAGTCGTATTCTGATAGTTCAGATCCCATAACCGAGCATTTTATGAAGGATAATGTCTTTGCTGCTGGAGTCCTTTCGTCAGTACTGATGGAGATGTGACTCCAGTGGTTTGCAAGACTTAAAACATTGTTTTTTTTTCTCAGATGATATCAGGTCTCTTCTTAAGAAGAGAATATTTAATGTAATATGCGAGATATAAGATCAAACCATAAAACCAATGATAATGTGAAGTTATTTTTCTCAGATTGGCCACAAACCAGAGAAACAGAGCACATTAAAATTTTATTCTTCAAACGAGGTAGAAGGGTCACATTTTAAAAGTTCAGTTTTAGGTTATACAGTAGTATACAGTACAGAATACAGGGATACAAGTTTAGCTTCCAAATAAAATTAAAGGGGTGAAGGACGCTGGTGTTTAGCTTGTGTCTAAGGGCTGGCAGGTAATTAGAATGCTTGAAAGTGCTGTGCCTTTGTTTCCATCTCTGTACAGCTGTGCACCAGTGACTCCCTGTGAGCTCAGTGACTTTGTCTATTGCAGTCACTGGATATAGTGTCTTTCTGTCCACTTTCCAGTGAGCTGCGGGAGCGAATCCAACCAGAAATCCTGGAACTGATAAAGCAGCAACGTCTGAACAGGCTGTGTGAGGGGAGCTGCTTCCGCAAGATTGGCAACCGCCGGAGACAAGGTGCATCCTGATCACTGCGTTGGCGGCGTACATATGGTGTTGGTACAGGGCACTGACCACGCTCATACACACACAGTACTGACCATGCTCATATACACACAGCGCTGACCATGCTCAT